AAAATAAAAAATATTTGTTAATAAAATTAAAAACTTTTATATATAAGAAAAATTATGTATTTTACTAATTATAATTAATAAAAAATTTAAGCATTACATTACTTTTGATGGCCAACATATATTAGTTAAAAAAGATTTTATTTTAATAATTTTCCTAAAATATATAATAAAAATTTTATTTTTATTATTATTTCTTATAAAAATTATTAAAATAAAGTTTTTTTTTAATTATTATTTATTAAATAAATATCTAATAAAAAATTTTTTTTAAACTTATAAATATATTCTTTATATCTTAAAATATATTTTTATAAAAATATTTTCAAAATTAATATTAAAAATATTTTTAAATAATTTTTTATAAATTTTATATAATTTTATTAAGCTAATACATTAGAATATTTATCTATAAAATTATATATTTTTTAAATATTTCATTATTAAATATAAATAAAAATATTCATCACTATTACTTTTGATTTTGATTATATTTTATTAATAATAAAGTTTTATATAATTATATTAATTATTTTTTATTAATAAATAAAAACTTATTAATTTAATAAAGTTTTATATTTATTAAATTAGAATTAGAATTAGAGTTAAATTAAATTTTATTAATTATAAATTTTATTCAAATAACAAAAAGTTTTATTTATATATTTTTACTTTGATAACTTTTATTTTTACTTTATTGTTTATCTAGTATGCTTCAATAATGATGATCAAACAAAGAATAATAATCCAAACTTTAATTATTTGTGAAATCTCAAGCTTGTTCTTGTTTTATTGATAAAAATAGATTATTGGTTCATTTTCAATTGAATTCGTTAATAACCAACCAATATAAAGTACTCAATTATGGACGAAGAGGAAAAAAGATATATCTATAGACGAATTGAGCAAAAAAAAAAATATTAGCAAATGTTAAAAATCGTTTTTGTAAAAAATTCTTCCAGAATTATAATCAGATGTTGCCAGTTTTCTCCTCGGGAACACACACACCAAAACTCAAACTCAAATCACCATCACAGTCCAAACCCAGACACCACAGCCAACAAACAACACCAAAACTCAAGAGAAAGCAAAACAATAGAACGGAAATACTCGATCAACAAAAAGATCCTAAAGCGAAAAAAGATCTGTGCGTATGTATGATAGAAAGTAAATCCTCTTGTTTACTTTTTATGTAGAAAGTTTTGTAATGTACGCTTGTGTTAAGTGATGCGGAACGAATTTGAATTTATTAGTGAGGCAATGATGAGAGGTTTTCGTGGGATTCCCAGTCAACGAATGGATATAACTTATGAATTTCATCATTAATTGAAGATATTTTAAGATTATAAATATATAAAATGTCTACCTTCTTTGCATCTTTTTTACAGTTCGTGGTCTAAATCGTGTATAGATCATGGATCATGCGATTCACAAATATTTTAGAATGCTTATTCGTGGGTTTTGGCCGTTTGAATTAGACATTGCCGCATCAGCTGACGTTAAAGAACACCACTGATAACCGCGATAATGACGCAGTTGAGGAATCGGAAGAAAAAACGCGATAACTATTTGAGATAGATGAATGGAAATGAATAAATGAATTATCACAAATGAATGCATCCATGATTGATATTTATAGTGAACAAAGATTTAATAAATCAGAAGGCGGTTTTAGAATCATTTTTCGACGAATCATTTGAAACACGGATAGTAAATTTAACATCATGTTTTTATATTTAGATAAATGACTACTATTCCTTTAAAAAAGATGTGTTATTACCATGATGATCGTTGTTCCATTATACAAATGGAAAAAATCCGGAGTAATTGATCGATTGCTTTCTATTATTTGTCATGTAAGAAAGCAAGCAAAGAAAAAGAGCGTGAAAGAGTAACAATCAGTAAAAGGTAATATTTAATCTTTCAATAGAAAAAGCGAGAAATATTTAGACATCGTTTATGTTAAATTGCTTTAATAATAATAATTATCAGAAGAAATGAGTTTCTATTTTTTTTTATTTTTGTACTTCATTATGGGTCAGAAGCAGAACTGGATAAAAATAATTTGCTCATCATTTTTTATTAATTGTTTGCAATTATCATCGTTAACAATAACTCGTGTTTGAAAATTGATTACTTACTTTTTCATCTTGATATTTCTGCGTTGTTCGATTATCGATTCCCAAAAAATGGATTAAAAAAGAAAAAGAAAGCTCAATCACAAAAACCCTATTAATAAATTATATATGTGGCTTGTTATATATGCGTATCTATGTGTATTTTTATATTTTTCTAAATTTATATTGATAATTTAATCAGATGGAAGTGCATGTATGATATTTTTCTTGATGGCTCATATTGAAATCACCGAAAGAATGGTTATGGGATGTCATCATCATTTTATAAATTTGCACTTAACCCGCCCCCGCGTATATATTCGCAAAAGCAATGATAAAATTAAGTATACATACGTGTCTCCGCCTTCTCACAGAAATCGTATAAATAATGTACTAGCGAGAAGAAAAGGATAAGATTTCAGTTAATATGTTAACTGACTAAAGATATTCTTTTTATTGTAATTGATATAGAAGATTTTAGTCAGAAACGAGGAATCCCTAAATTTTTTTACGGTTTGTCCACACACATTTTCAAAACGCCCGAGAGCGAAATTGAGTTAATGTTCAGTGGTATCATTTTGAATACCCGTAAAAAGTATCATCACGAATGCGTACTCTTTTTTGATATTATAAGCGAAAATCGAAGAGTAAAGTTACGTACTTTTTTTTTGTTTATTAGTAATTTGGAAGAAAAAAATTTTTGACATGCCACAACCATATCGGTCATCATCTCAAGTGATCCGTTAAATAATGAATAATGGGAAATATTTAAAAATAACGTGGAGCGTTTATTTATAAACTCCACATCTGGTCGTCCATAATTATGTCAAGCTTACCGTTAGAGGTCGCTGGTGTTTTAAAAAACTTCAGGACACTTAATCGTGAACAACGCAAAGCATTGTAAGTTGAAGAATATTACTTATAAGCATGTTATTTTAGGTAAATTTGATTCTATGGAATATGTCAAGATACATTAAAGAAATTCAAATTATTTCATTTGATATTTAATTTTGATAATTAATCGACACGCATGATATCAATAAAAATAATTATAATTAAAATAATCCCAGTCTACAAGGATTAGTCAACGAATGCGATTCATATGACTTTCATACACTTCAGCAATGCTTAAAACATTTGGGCATGATTGGATTTGACTTGCTGGGAGCGTTGCCGGTCGAATTGTCAGTGAAAATATTCTCACACCTTGATCCTGGAGATTTGTGTAATTGTAGAGAGGTTAGATTTCTTTCCTAAAATATTGTCAATGACACTAATTCTTCATTATTAAATAATATTTTGAGTAACGCTCCATGATTATTTTTTCTATATCGTAGGTAAGCAGAACATGGCGAAACATTTCACACGATTCTTCAATCTGGCATAAGAAATGCTTAGACATGTTTAGCAAAGATGAATTTACCTCACCCTCATTACTATCATCATTATCATTATCGTCATCATCATCTACGGCAACAACAGAATTAAATATGATAACCTCAGAAGAAACAGCACCCACCATGAATTGGGAACAAGCATATCAACAACTGTATCGTCGAGAAAAAAACTGGGCCCATGGTCGAGCACAATCCGTAAAGATATTATATGGTCATGAGGAACGAATAAATGATGCAAAATTAAAGGAGAATATCTTAGTGACCGGATCCACGGATCGTACAGTACGTGTTTGGGATTTGGACAAGGAAGAATGTCTACGTGTGTTCAAGGGGAATACGTTTAGTAGCGTTGATTTTTTGGTTAAAGAAAAAATAGTGGCAGCGGCTACTTTTTTCAGGTATTCTTTTGTTATTTATTACCCGAATTATGATTGGAGAAAGAATATTATATTGATTTTAAATTTAAAATGGTTTATCAGAGCTTCTTTTATTTGGAATATGGAAACTGGAGATCTGCTACAAGAATTAACTGGTCATGTTAGTGCTGTTCGCGTTATTTCGTTGAATGAGACATACGTGGCATCTTGCGCTTTTGATGGTAGCATAATCATTTGGATATGGAAAACGGGAGAAAAAGTTGCCACCATAAATACTAATGTAAGTTTAAACTGCTTTATGAATGATTTTTTATAGATATTTAATCATCTCTTTTGGAATAATAAAAAAAAATATAAAATCAGGCGCAAGACTTTAGATTTCTCGACAACACGATAGTAGCACTAAGCAACAATAATAACAAAGAACTAAACGTGTACAGTCTACCAGAAGGAACCGCCTTATTTTCTATACCATTCGACAATGGTCTCCTTGGCTGGGCATACTTCAAAAATGTGATACCAAAAGATCAACCGACCCCACAAATTATTCTTACTCCGGAAATGCTTGAAGAATATATAACATTACCAGCAAACATTGCGAAACTAAAATCTGAATCACCCTCCTCATCATGGTCCAGTTCAACCGCGTCTACCGCTCGTGCGATCGCCTTTGACACCAGAAAAGGACGAGTAGTCCGTGGTTTCCGCGATCAAGAAGATCATATGTCTGTTTCCGAACGTCTGTATTCGAACAGTGGCTCGATAATTTTGGATCTACAGCTTTTTGACAAGGTCGGGCAATCATCAATGGTTCAATTTGCACTTAAGCAATCACAACCACAAGACCAAGAACGCGAACAACGTGAACGAGAAAGAACCGGGAAAACCAGTAGTAGGCTTGCGGAGCTTGCTAAACTGCGTATACAGTCGTATACTACGGTTGACATGGACTTTCGTCGGATTGTGGTCGGATGTGCTACTGGCTTGATTGGGATTTTAGGATTCGATGATCATATCCTTGATGCTGATAGTCAGAGCAATAGTAATATTAATGGTAACAGTAACAGTATTAGTAGTAATAATCATCATCATCATCATCATAATAATAATAATAATAGTAATGATTATTATTATATTAACGATGAAGGAATTGAGGACAATATATATAATGACGACGAGTATTCTCCAAATACAGCAGCTAGTTATAACACCACCGCTTCAACTAATAATTATAATATGCATCATCTTCATACGCTATTTTCGGGCCACCTTAGAAAACATATTTAAGATGCCTCCTTATTTATTTACTTTAGTATATATACACACACATATATAAAATTGTAAAGTTGATTGTTGTTAATAATTTTGGAACGAGGGATGGTGTTGGTTCAAATCAATCTTTTTCTAACGGTTGAATATGCGTTAACAGTTGATTAGAAAGGTTAGATAATATATATAGAATTTACATCATCCAATAATGTTATTAAAATATCGAACATGGTGAAATATCTTTAGTTTTCATGAAAACGTGCGTGCATGCAAATGGTTTTGACCCGCATACATGTACATAGCATTATTACATAAAAGATCTGCACAACTAGTATCATGATTTTTTGTGGTAACTGAATTCAAAAAAACAACCCCCGGTCAAAACAGAAATTCTCAAAACCTGATGCGCGTTCCAACAATAACAATGGCAAAAGAACACGCGACATTACAATCATAAATAGTCAAAATTGAATCAAATTTCCCAGCATTTTTACACCGCCAATTATTTAGGTCAAAGAAAAAAAAAAACACTCAAACAATGATACTAAATAAAAAAGCCTGTTCGATCCTTGGAGTTTCTCGTTTGTTTTTTTTTCTTTTCTACTAGGCCTTTTTTTTATTTGTGATGTTGATGTTTGATAAGGAACAAAAAAAAATAGTTTGATCCAATCCAACAAACAAATAAAAACTCTTACCCTAAACTAAATTAGATTCGATCAGTTTTTATATCATCTTTTTAGGCATCAAACATCCGATACATCTATGCAGATACAGCCTCTTTCTCGCGATTACACGTGGTCCTGCGGAATAATAGATCTCGTTATTTTTTGAAACCTCAAAAATCAACCCACTTACTTATATTTATATCTATGATCTTTAGGGACCATAAAGTTTTTATTAATCTGTACCGAATCTTATTTCTCGATAAGATTTTAATGATAATTATGTATCATCTATTAATTACAGCAAAATATCATGCTTCTAATGTTGCATCCTCTGATAATAGTAGCACATACATGTATATGTACGTGTACACACACATTTATCATGCACACGCGCGTACCTAATAATAATAAAGTTTAAGTTAGAGTTTTTGGAAAGAGACCACGGAAATTCTCGTTATTATTACATGAGAAGTGTACGTTGAAACACATTCGGTTATCATGGTGAATGGATCAAAGAAAGAACGAGTCGATCGTTGGATAACGAATAAGGATCAATTGCTACTCCCGTTAATGTGACAGATAAAAATAAAGTAGATGTATTTTTTTTTGCTACGTACACCAAATAGTTACGCATAAAAATATTATTCCGTGGGTAAAAAAAAACATTGTTATTGTATAACAAAAACTAACGCTAAACGTAAGGAAATACGAATCAAATGGGATCGATAATAATGCCGACACCCGAGATACATCGGCGACATTTCGGTAGACAATCTCCGCTTTTTTTTTGATGACACAAATCCATCAAATATAGAAGGTTTAAATTGATAATAGCCACGCGTGACGTATTTGTGTAATCTGATGAAATTAAATGAGGTCAATAATTTCAAAAAATTACGAAAAAATGAAATCCTTTTCTGAATAAAAATGTCATTCATTTTCGTAATTGTAAATTTGTGATTCGTAAAAAGTGATTGAGAGAATAAAACAGTCAGAAAATACCAAATAATGAAGTATCGTGTTACGATGCATGCACTCATTCGTTCACCACAAAAGAAGAAAAAAAATACAGAGGGCGTACATATTGTTGTTGTCGTTTTGTTGTTAGCACTTTTGTAACCAAGCATCAGAATAGACTGGCTGATTACTGGTTATTATTAGCATCATTGTTAGGGTAAAGCACACCAAAGGAAAGAGGTAATGACTCAATGAACGAACGTGATAAAGACGTTAATTGAATCAAACGAGGAGCTCGACAAAGATTCAAGATTGAATATCTATAAACTTCTGAAATACGAAATGCGAGTCATAAAATGAATGAAGAGATATCATCATACACACATGTTCGCGCCTATTTGCAGTTCATTAATTTCCATCTGTAACAGAGAAAAGTGTAACTTTGGCAGGCGATAATGAAGTCTTTGGGATTTCTGTAACATTAGGCTGAATGATGAATGGTCTTGTACATTATTCACTTGGCTGATTCGAGAAATCGACGTGCTTTGAAATAATCCCAAAGTAAAACTACTAACGCGAACACGCGTGACAACAATTTGGTTAAGGAAATTTGAGGCTAACGCTAAAGCTATACTACTCTTATTTCTATTTTTATCCTTCGATTTATCTCTTTAAATTATATATTACATTATATAAATATATACATACGTATACATACAGTATATACGCAGATAAGCCAATTACCTTGTACCAAGTATTAGCTCTTCCTCTATCAATATAGCAAAAGCTCAATCAATCTCGCCTATCGAAAATATTCATGTACATTAAATTCAATAGAAAATGATACTTCATGTACATTTGATACTTCAACACCTCGTGCGTGTAAAAATGTCGCATTTTTATGTATGATAGCGTACTTGCATTCAATGTCTGTAAAAGGAAATTATTTTTTGTGTCAAGTGGATGGATACGAGTAAGGCGTTATTTCAAAAATTGGTTCGCAAACGTTCGGAAACCAGAAATGATTCTAGAAAATATTTTGAATTTCTTTGTTCCTTTTTGTTTATTCATTCTGGCTCCTTATTTTTTCCCTCATCCAAATTTAATTCTTGATTTCTTTTTTTGATTTCAATAAGATGTAATAATGAGGTTGCAAGTTAACTGAATTTAGTGCAAATCTCTAGCGATCCCCCAGAAAAATACACATACCAACGCACGCTGATGCGATTTTTAATAATGATGCGTCGTTTTTCCTTTCGCTATATGTCCATCCGTAAGTCATTCTGCATGTCATTTCCACTTTTACGTGTCGTTAATAATGCAAAACAACTTTCCTATTGAAAATTTGTTTTCGCACTATTAACGGTCGGATTGAGAAGATTGGACAAATCAAGGATTATTCTTGGCAACCTATAACGGGATGAATTATAGAATTTCGAAATTTTTTGAAGGCTCATGAGTAGTCGCAGAGGTCAGCCTTTCAATGGGACGACGGCGATATGACGACTTCTTCTCACTTCATTTTCAGATGCAATGCATTCATTTGTTGCCCTTTTTTTTTTCTTTTACCGTTGGCATAGGCGAGAACAGACCTCGCAGTTCATACATTTTTTGCCTTTTTTTTTCTTTTACGTTTGCTCAGGCGAAAACAGAAAAATTAATTTCTCGATGCGTTGACTCGTGTATTTATTCATTGTATTCGATTCATGCATTCATCCACTTTATGCATTTTTTTATTCCGGCGTTTTTTAGGCGTTTTTTCATGTGCACTTGATTTTTAGCGGTAAATTTATTCTTTGTCTACGAGCGTGCCTGTAAGATATAAACATTGTCGATAAAGTAGTCCCATGCTTGTGATCAGAGAGAAATCACAACATCCGATTCAAATTCACAATTAATCTCGATCGTATCGTTAAGTTAGAGAAACAAACGGAGCGATACCATTTATATCCGTCTTCTCCCTTGCCCCGTTTTTGCATCTTCGCCCCCGTAAATAATGATATGAGAATAGCGTGGACGCTTAGACATTGACTTGTTCTCTCCAATTGAATCATTTACTCTTATTGTCCCATTCATTCCGTGCTACTTCATTAGTCCCCTTAAAAATATGTCATAAAGGTAAACATTAAAGCATCATTAAAACATAATCAACACAGAAAGAGTCGAAATGTAGAAGGAATAATATACGTGTACAAGAAATCGCAATCAAATAGATCGATTTTAACTTGTTAAGCGCATGAGTTGAGTTTTTGTATACTTCGCTCGAAACCAATAATATTTCCAAGAACGATGAATTCGCGTTCAAACCTAAATTTTTAACTTTTTTCGTCTTTTTCTAATTCACTTTCGTCTAATTTTATTGTCACCTAAAAATTAGAATCACGATATTTTGTCTCCAAATATTTTGAGACGAAATAATAGGATCATTGTTACAATCAGAAATATTTCTTAATGGTCTAAATAATAAAAAAATAGCTAAACCTCGCATGAACAACTATCTTTCTCATCGTAATGGAAATCTTTAATCGAAAAAATCATCAGCTGTTTATCATATCGAGCAACAATAATTATGTTTCATTAATTATCGGATAATTCCCCATCCATTTTTAGCTCGTTTGGCGTTGATATTTTAATCTATTGTTCATTATTAACCTTGTCATTACAATCTATTCTCAGTAACAAAATCATAAATATTTATCGTTATGATAATGATAAGCTATTATTCTTCCGTTTCGAAATTGTTATAATCATTCAATTTCGCACACAAAATAAATATATCGCATTACAATGCCAATCGAATCGAATTTATTACTCCTCTCCCCCCACCCCCAATCACCGCATTCTGTTAATAAATTCCGAGGTATTCGTCGATATCAAATCACACCACACAGGCCAAAGACACGCACACACACAAAAACATAATCTATTTTCTTACCATCCAATATGGCATTGTATGTTCTTTCACTTGCCGTTTTGTCTCTTTCTTTTTCTGTGTAAGCCTATTTTCGGATGCAAAATAATACATATCAATATGTATGTATTTATTCACGTACATGTATATTAGATTAGTAATAGCAATAAGTATGGCAGCATATCATTTGCGGATAATTTTTTTGGGGCGTTGGGGAAGGGGAAGGAGCATAAGCATTAAATGATTCTTCGAGAATTAATTAGGATTATGCAACAGTATTCATTAAGAACATAGTACGTAATAACTTCAATAGAAACCATAAAATTCGGCTTCCGGGATCATTATGATGCTCGTCGGAGTGAATGCAATATTCAACTCTGTATTGAAAGAGATAAGGAATGATAACCTGACAATCACTTTTAATCGCTCTATTCAATTATGCGTGCAGGACCGTAAGAAGATTCGAGACCATTGATGTTGTAAAGTAGTTTTAGGAGATTTAAGTAAAAGTTTCCCCACACCTTTCTATCATACAAAAAACCTAAAATCTATTGGCATTCTCATTGGTGGGGTTGAATCATTTCGTGATGTGATCTCCTTGGCAGCTATCAACGGCAGAAATTTTGTCGTGAAAATCCCCATGTGTATCAATATTTTTAATATTCGTTTATGATGTCATCGATTCGAAATGGAAATTCGCATTCGCTATTTTTTCTGAGTCAATGCAATGCGAAAATGGGACAAAGAAAGTCGAATTCATAAATTTCTTGCTCTATTGAAAGCACCGGTGCATATTTCGTTGTTATCACCTGAAACTTTCTTTGCCACATATGTATATCATCATCATGCAACTTCGATCCTCATTCAGTTCTTGATTGACTCCACAATCAGATTTACTATATCCGAACTAAACCAAATCCATAAACAAAGATAACGAAATTTGGAATTCAAAAGAAGAAACAGTTTTGATATAGTTAGCACACGCGTTTCCTATATACATATAACAAATTCAAGTCAAATACGTGCACATGCACGTTAATTCTTTATGGTGAGTGCGTGCGTGAAGGACCAACGTAATACTCGTTTCAATACTCGCTATTCTTACACAACGAAAGAACACGAAACACGAATATCGTAAGATATCACGATGGCATGAGAGGAACAACAACAGCAACAACAATATATGACAACAACAACAACGGCAACGACAACAATAATAAGATAAGATAACGGATAGATAATGTTTAATGTTGATAATATATTATAATATCCGAAGGCAGGCATACAATACAGATATGCTAAAAATAACAACAATAATAAAGCACTTGGCAAATTACAGGAATGAAATAGAGCTAGAGCTATCCTCACATCTCTAACCTTATTCTTTCTCAATTAGAAAAGGAATACAGGAAGTGGTGGTAAATAACAACGACGCCGCCCCTCCTAATTAATAATTCTCGGATATACGATTCTTTTTATTATCATCGTAAATCAAAATACAAAAATCAAATTCTAGATTTTTGATTCTATCTGAACCACATAATTTTTCAAAATTAATGCCTCGGATAGCAATGGGATGAACGGGTAATCACCAAATATTTTATCCATCCATAATAGAATTAAATAAATTTGATAAAGAAACCTAACACAATCGTACACCTTATCAAAATGTCAGTTTACATATTTTGTCTTACCTAACGAATGGAGAAATAATAGTGTAAATAGCAATGAAATAGAAATGGTATTAGTGATAATACAAGTTTATTCGATCAATGCTTATTCAGAATTTAATCCTAGTAGTACTTGTACCTTATACAACAAATTTTCAATTACCGAAAAAAAAATTTAAACTTCGTCTCACCCGACACCCGAATACACCGCCGGATATTAGTTGTTTTTTGTTTGTCAATTACTTCCAATTTTTGGTTAGAATCAATCCTTTCCTTCAGTTCAATCCCAAATCCAAATCCAAATTCATTCACAAAAGGGTCTTTGTTTTTTTTTCTCGCCGTGTATGTATAAAATACTGGAGATATATAAAAAAAATCACCCAATAAAATAAATTAAACAGTGTTATTCTAATTTACAATTAATTAAAAAACTTTAATAGCCATATTATTAACTACAGTATAAAATAAGCTTGTGTGTATTGTGTGTAATAGAACAGTAGTAATACACCGATACCATAAACAGTGATAGATAGATATAAATATTAGCCAGCAAGTTTTTCAAAGTGGTTGTTTGACCACTTTTTTTTTCTTTTCCTATTTCGTTCATTCGATTTCGCCCTTTTTTCTTTCCCCGCTAACCTACACGCAGAATATATTTATTTATTCTATCCATTATCAATTTTCTTATATAGTAAACGTATAAAAAAAATCGATCAGATAGCTTCTCACGACGCCTCACGAACTCCCATATATATCTTTTGTTTGCCACGACATTATTATTGTTATTCTCTACTCAACGCTATATAAAAAAATATATTAAGTCAGATACCTATATATATACATATAAATAGAGACTGCCGCCGCGTTGGTCTCTTCTTCCCCTTTTTTCCGTCTCATTTCCATACGACCGAAAACTAAACAATAAGATAATACCAACAATCGTTTATGATTGCACACATTCAATTATATATATATACACACGTATCTTAAAAAAAAATCTTTGGACTTTACATCTTTTTGTACATATAAGCAAGCATAAGTCAGTCAGAGTTTTGTGAGTTTTTGAAAAAACCCCACAAAAGTTTGCGTATATATATATAAAATATATTATTATCTTTAGAGTGGAAAGAGAAAGTACCGCGTACTACTTTTTTCGAGTTTGAAGATACCACATAAAAACAGCGAAAACTAAAAAAAAAAATTAGTCCTTTGGAAGTCAATCAGACTTAAATAGATAGCTAGCAAACATACATTCGAACGTAAAGACACGCGTAGATTCAGAACATTATAAAAAAGAAAAAAATAGAAATGGCAGCCGCTATTGAAACCCCTATTGTCGTCAGCAGTTCATCTCAATTTGCGACCCGTGCAAATAATAATAGCCAAGAACAATATCAACGATCGTTCTTTCGAAGAGCTTGGGATAAGTTAGAAGGTAAATGTCCATTATCTTTAAATATCCAATTATTAAGTTCTCTAATAGAGATATTAATTACAAAACTATCTAATAAATAATAGATATATTGGTTCGAGTACAAAACAAAAACACCACATATCAAGATGATGACGATATCCTCGAGGAGGAATTTCATAACCCGTTGAACCCACATCGACGACAAGCTCTTAAAGAAGGTTCAATAAAATCCAGAATCTCCACAGATAGTGGTAAGTTTTTACTCAATGCTGCGTCAAATTTCATTTCACGTGACGCGCAAATTTTGCTTACTAATCTTTAATTTTAATAATTAGATGACAGAATCTCATCGTCACGATCATCATCACGTGCCTCATCACGAGCATCATCACTAAGACACTATGACCCTTGGCAACAACGTATCAATGAAGAGTTGCAACAGACGCAAATGGAACATGTTCGCATCAAGAATATGATCTCTGGATGGGCGAGTGATGAAGTTGCACCTTGGTTTTATTATTAATTAATTAATTAATTAATTAATTAAACGATCAGATTTCTATTTTATTTTTTCTTTTGTAAAAAATGTGTCGTTGATTAGAAATTTTTTTATTTTGCTCTATGTAAGTATGTATGTGTATATTTCTTTTCTTTATTTTTTTATTTTGGTAGGTTGATGGGATTATTTTCGTGATGGGTTTATGGGTTTTTTTGTTCGTTATTCTTTTTTTTTAATTCTAAATATACAATGTAAGCATTTTCATTTTTTTCATTTCATTCCCAACACATCAAACCAATAATCTTCATCATCAATCGTATTCATTTTTTCATATATAAAAAAATTTATAAATACATATATAAATATAAATATAAAATATAAAAATACATTCTTAATTTATTTTATTTTTTGTTAAACGTGTTCTTTCATTTATTATCATTATTTTATTATATTTTTTGTGCATGTCCATAGAAATTCCATTCCTTGAATTTTTATCTTGATCTTCTTTTTTTCGACGCGCGAAAAATGCTAATAAAAAAAATGATGATGATAAGATAATAACGATAATGATTTCTGAAGATGATTTTTTCTTTTTCCCTTGGGACCTGACACCAAAGTTTTTGTTTGGGGAAAGAGGGCAATCACGAATGAAGTATATTTGAGCGGCGGTGATGTGTGCCAAAAAGGTTTCTTTAGATTGGTTGATTGTGTGTTTCTAGATTTGTTGGGGGCGATGCATTCCACTTTTTCCTTTCCTCTTTTAATGTATATTTATATAAATATATATAGCTCACTTCTTTTACATACATGCACAAGAATCTCCCAACATAAACACACATAATTTTCATCCCTGATCTTTTTATCTTGTCTTTTATTCGTGTTTACTTTTTCTGTTGGATATGCATACCCATCCATTCAACCCTAACCTTAACCCTAACCCAAACAAAAACATAATCTTTTTCTAATTTTTTTTTATTTTTAAATAATTATTGCGTTGAATGATGGCAGAAAACGCGTCTTCGCCTTGATGATCTTATTCTTGGCGTTTGGTTATTGGTTAAGATTAACCCTTCTTTCATCATTACGATCTGCGCGTCTTTTCCAAGAATGTATCGTTTTTTGGGGCTCTTATTACCTTTTTTTATTTACCCTTTATCCTTTTGTTCTTTTGGATGAATATCTATTTTTACTTTTGTGGTTGCGATTGGTTCTTTATTATGTTATACATTTTCAATAAAGGATATTTAATTTTTCCTCTGTTAACTATTGTTCCTTTTGTTGGGGTGACGAGTGAACTAATTCCATGTATATTTTCTATTTTAAACGCGTTTCTTTACTACGTGTGTATATATATATATTAGATTTTGTAAATAATAGTTTTTCAATTTCATCTTACATTTCCCCATTGTTGTTAATCTTTGATCAACAATATTTGCAAAAACATTCAGTTTTCAATTTTTCCGAGATATATATTCTTTCGCGTATGCATGTAATATAATTTGCATGTGAGAAAGTATGGATATGCATTTATACGCAGAAATGCATATATGATATTCCAAGATCTTTTCAAGCATGTTATTTACCCATATCTTGAAATTCTTCAAATTTTGTACTGGGGGGAAATAAAGTGATTGAGATTGAATCCGTGTTAACTAAGATTTTGTTGTCAAAACTAGCAATATGGGTTTGTCAAAGATCATTTGTAAATATTTTGGTGTGACTATATGATTTAACTTTTTCTCAAAGTATGATTGGAAAAAAAAATACCAAATTCAAATTATTTATTAAAGTATTAATTGATGTAGTATATTATTAAAATTAGTAAAATGAGTAAAATACAAAAAAGTTATTAATATAATCCGCTCTTCTTTCACCCTAGAATGTGGTAATTATTCAGACTTCTTATCTTCGATAGCTGAAGCTTCGTTGGTGGCAGTTTCACTTTTTTGAGCCTCAAGCGCGGAAGCTTCATTGATAGCAATTTTATCTTGAACCTCGAGTTCAGGAGCCTCATTAGCAGCGGCTTCACTTTTTTGAACTTCGAACTCGGAAGTTTCATTGGTGGCAGTTTTACCCTTTTGAACTTCGAACTCAGAAACTTCATTGGCAGCGGCTTCACTCTTTTGAACTTCTGGTTCCGAAATTGCATTAACGGCGCGCGTGATGGCGTTGGTAGGAGTGGTGCTGACACCGGTATCAATAGTTGGCGTGGTAGTGGAAGTAGTAAGAGTGTGAATCTGCGGATTTGCTAAACAGTTCCAATTAATTGGAGCTCTACCACGGCTTTTTAGAAATTCGTTGGCTTTTGACCAGTGACGACATTCGAAGAATCCATGATGTGCTGATAATGGAGATGGATGCGCCGCCGTGAGGACAAGGTGCTTAGACTAATATTATAATATAGATTTTTTTACGGAAATAGATGAATTGTAATTATTATAACGATTATTGAAACAATTGATCATTCTTTACCTTGTCTATATTTTTGCCTTTCTTTTGAGCGTGTGAACCCCATAGCAAGAACACTATGCTGTTTTTCTTTTCGTTAAGATACTGAATTACCGCGTCTAAATTAAGAGATTCGATTTTTAAAAAACATCCTCGTCTCATTACTATTAATAATAATCATTAATCACCAATACAAACCAGTAAATTTCTCCCATCCTTTACCACTGTGACTTGCTGCATCGTGAGCACGAACGGTTAATGATGCGTTCAATAAGAGAACACCTTCTTTTGCCCAGTTCTCGAGATTTCTGGTTTTTTGCGAACATCGAGTTGATATTAATCAGCTTGTTAATAGCAACAATAGTTTATGACGAAATGGATAGAATAAAGTACCCATGATTTGGAATCTCAAATGACGGGATGTCAAGCTTCAATGCCTTGTAGATGTTGAGAAGAGATGGAGGGCAACGTACCCCGTTTTTTACGCTGAAGCATAATCCTAAGCATTTAATGATTATTTAGTACGAGTAAACGTGCTATGAATATCGTTATCATTGAGAAAAAAGCATTTAATTGCCATGAGCTTGTCCAATATCGTGGTAAGGATCTGAATAAAAGATAATTATTTTGAATATTTAAATCGATTCAACTAAGGAACGTAAAAATAGATATGTGGAAGCAATCCTCACCTTGCCCAACGATCACGACTTTCACGTTTGATAAGGGAGTAAATCTTGACCAGCTGTAAATATCTCGTTCTAGTCAGAAAATAAACAAAATTAAATTACTTTATTGGATCATTAAGTTTTACAGTTAAGGATAACTATCATCATCATACCGGGTGGAAATACAGTTTTTTTACTTTCTTTTTCACTCTTTAGAAAATTTTTCAACTAATGACAAATATTATTTGAATTGCAGTATTAGACTTTATGACGCGTTTTTCTGTGTAACAACATTGGTGTATCAAAAGACCTGAAGAAAGTAAGGCTTCTTTAGTTCGGCATTCAACGCTCTCAACCATTCGCCGTCCAGAGTCTCGGCTTCCAACCTCAATAATTCTTTTTTATTACCGTCAAGGCCTTTGGTGAGTGTTTCGAAATTTGACCCAGGTTGTTTCGAGTTTTTCTCCTCAAAAGACGCGTCGTTCGCGGGAGAAGGTTTGACCCAACCAGACAGAAAAGTTTGAGTGGTGCTGTTTGCTTGCGGAAGTGTTTTCGTTTTCTTGTTGGGATATTTTTCTGTTACGGCTTTCGTTTTCTTGGACGGGTAGTTGTCTGTTTCGGTTGGGCTCACATTACGCTTTATCATTGTGTGAATGGGGACAGTGGTATAACCAAGATCTTTTTGTAAGTTTAGTAAGGTATAGTTGCTTTGATATCCACGAGAAGAATATAAAAGACTGGAAAAACGCGCGACAAATTGAAAATCGTTCAGCATGCCCAATTTCTGCCTACTTAACGTTAACGTCAATTTGCTGGTTAATCTGTATCACAATATTTTTTTCCATCGAACGACGAGACCCAATATTAATACGTGTCTTTACACTTGAAATCGTTCGCGTTGGTGTCCTTTGCCTATTTCACTTTTCGGCGACTTGCCGTCGTAAAACCAACATTTCAAAGTAGAAACTCACTTTCGCTAGGTAGTGGAGGTGTTGGTTATAATAGTAGCATTGGTTGTTTATACACGCCCATTCGTCAAATGAAATCATATATACAAATACTGGGGTGTGCAACTCCAGACACCACACCCTCAGTACTAGTTCATTTTGATACGCGCGCTGCGCAACGGTATCTTTTCAACTGTGGCGAGGGCACGCAGCGAGTATGCCTGGAGAACAAAGTGCGGCTACCGAAATTGCAGAATATTTTCACGACTCGTGTTGTTTGGGAGACATTGGGTGGGCTTCCAGGTAGATTTTCTCGTTATAAGTTGGTAAAAATAAGATAACGCATCAGCTTCAAGTGAATCGTTGATTCCTATAAATGTATACCATGTGCACAATACGCTTAATGCTGATTTGCCGTAATTGATTTTTTATTAATGGCTTATAAAAGCTGATTTCGTATGTTATATTACTACATCTTGTCAACCTTTTTAATGAATGAATGGATCTAACAGGAATGCTGCTGAGTATGGCAGACGCGGGAATTCCAAGTGCTAGAATACTCGGTGGTGAAAATCTGACACACTTTCTCGTGGCCACGCGAAATTTTATAGTAAGGTATTATTACAACGAATAGCGATCCAAGTGAAGTAAAACGAAAAAAGAATATTAATTATCAATGAATGAAATCTTTAGATCAACAATGTCAGTTGAGACTCTTGAATTTCCGGAAGACGGAATGGAATTCAAAGATGAAAATCTGATTATCAAAGCAGCTTTAATTTATCCCGAGGATTTGCGTCAATCAATTGCATCTGACAATAATTCATCATTGTCTACAGCAGAGATCTCTTTACCACAAAAAAGGTCGCATGACTTAGCATCATTAGATCACTCGGAACAAAAATCCTCTTCGTTAGAGTATAAAAAAAAGATGTTGTCGTTGATGTTTAATCAGAGCCAACGACAAAACACTGGCCAACAACCAAAAAAAAGACACAAAAAAGAAGAAGAAAGCAGAGAAGAAGACACTGTATTTGACATGGCTGTAAAAGAAGAGGCTAGCACCGCCGGAGAAACTGCGACTAAATCGTCATCGACAAATACAACTCCCGAGAAAAGTTTGAGTGATCAACGTCGCGAGTTTTTTCCTCAGCGATTACCAAAATCCAGAATATCATCGACATCTATCGCGTATATATGTAAAGGTCCAGACTATAAAGGAAAATTCAATCCACAAGCTGCACAGGCTCTTGGGTTGCCTCCTGGCCCGCAGTATGGTTGTCTTTTTTTTTCAAATTATTTATTCTCACGAGTTAGATATCGAATTAATTAATTAAGTGATGAATTAATACTCTTTATATTTTATTACTTTATTAGCCAAGTTGGTTAATGGACATTCGGTAACAACACCAGATGGCAACACTGTGCATCCACATCAAGTATTGAGTGGTGCGCGTGGTGGAATTGTAAGAGCTTTCTTTTAGATTCAATAAAGTAAAAAATGATGATGGTCGTCAAATTCATTTTTCTCTATTTAAAAGATATTTATTATAATAGACATACCATCGGTGGACTATATATCATCACTTATCACAAATCAAGATTTAGCCCTATATCAAAAATCCGAAAAAGATATGGAACCTGGTGCTGTGATCCACATGTTGGGCAATGGTGTGTTGGAGGACGAACGGTACAGAGCGTGGATGAAAAAGTTTGGAGGAAATACTCAGGTAGGTGCTTCACACTCTCAAATATGACTTGGGCTCTCGAGAAATAAATAATGATCTATTATGCGCTATTAAACAGCATATTATTGCTAACGGAGAGTACTGTCCACAACGATTGATATTCAATCACGCCGGTAAAAGCCAATATAAATTGTCGAAACTGGATTCTACGCAATTTCGGATTCCTTTCTATTCAAATGAACCGTTAAAGAACTTCAAAGAAGGTATTTTTGATTCATTTATTATTGTTTAATACCTTTTTTTTAAAATTGGATTTATTTGATGAGATGGTGATCATAATGTTGACAAAAGGCGGTTTCACTCAGTTCCAGACTTACCACGAAAAGTCACTACCTCTGCGCCTCTGTTAATTTATGACATGGAACCAAAACCCAAGCTAGATGCCACCCAAATACCTCCACTATTCGATCTCAAGGATCCAAATTCATCCGTCATAAAGTCTGTAAAATACCTGAGAGATTATCTCGCTATTGCTCAACAGATAAGAAAAGAATTTGATACGAATAAGATGCCTACTACAAATATACCGGGACATGATGTTACCGTAACGACACTCGGAACTGGATCGAGTGCACCATCGAAATATCGAAATGGTACTTCTTAATACTAATGCTAATAATGTTTAATATTGTTATCTGGTGAATAATAACATTTATTATATGAAAATAATATAGTTAGTGGCAACTTGATAACTATCCCAAAGTATGGCTCAATTCTTTTAGATGTAGGCGAAGGAACATATGGCACATTGATAAGACTTTTTGGCCCATTAGGCAAAAAAGCGCATGATGGGATGATGACGCTAGAGGAATGTATTAATGGACTAAAATGTATTTTCATTTCTCATTTGCACGCTGATCATCATTTAGGAACGATGCGAATTCTAAAGATATGGAATGAGGTATTTTTTTATTCAATTGTTAATTCGTTTGTATCTATTTATATATTTTTTGTATATTGAATTAATTGTAAACACATTCCAATTCATGATATTTTCCATGATGCAATTATAAACACTAGCTTAACAAAGACAAGCCTAACTCTAGATTATCTATTGTCGCCCCCGGGCGTCTGTTCAAATGGTTAGACGAACATAGCGACATTGAATACTTTGGATTTCCTAAAATGCAATTCATCGACAATAGAGACATATTGCCAAACAGCCGTTACTATAATGTCAAGAAGTAATCAATTTTTTTTCTGTTATTGGATTAAATAATCTTTTTAGATTGACATTTTGTTTTTCAGGATAGAGAACCTAAAAATGGATTTAGGATTGAAAGATATTACTTCGGTTGAGGTGATTCATTGTCCATCCGCATATGGTGTCAGTCTGCAACATTTGGATGGGTGGAAACTTGTGTACGTGTCTCTTGTGTCTTGTTAGCAATAATAGTGATAAAAATATTCGAATCTCATTATGAATGAATCCTATCACTTTTAGTTATTCGGGCGATACTCGACCATGTGATAATCTGATAAGAATAGGCAAAAACGCCACACTATTAATTCATGAAGCTACATTCGAGAACGACTTGATCGATGATGCACTCGGAAAACGGCATTGTACAACCAGTGAAGCAGTAAAAGTGAGCGAAAGGTAGGTTTAATCTCTAGATTTAGTATCTTACATCAATTATCATTAAGTCTCAAGTCTTAAATATACATATAAATTCAGGATGAATGCGCAATCGACGCTATTCACCCACTTTAGTCAGCGGTACCCCAAAGTACCGGTATTCACCGACGCGCACAATCGTATCGGCATAAGTTTCGACATGATGCAGTTCCAACTAGGAGATTTTTATAAACTTCCGAAATATGTAAGGGCGTTGAAAGTTTTGTATGGTGATGAATGCGAAGAAGCGAAAGAGGATAGTGTCGAGGATGTATTGTTTGCGGGCAAGTAAATGTAATTATTGCATATGTAAGAAATCGGAATATGTGGACTTTAGAAGATGCGACTTTTTGATTATTTTTTTGTAAAAATGATTAGTGTCTCGGTAAATTATTCCAACCTATAATTGATAAATATTATTATAATAGTGGTAATAATATTTATAATACACGAGCAATAAAACCATCCATCAAAAAATTCTAATTCAGCTTTTTATTTTTCTAAGTTCACAAGATATATTTGGTGTATTGAACATTAATTACATTGTTGGTGAAGAGATGTGTATGCTTGTCAAAATGTACTCGGAGAGATTATCCAAGAATATTCTTTGTTTTTCGATCTAGTCCTTCATTACTTCCATCTTCTGTAATTAATAACTACGAAAGATGATGATGAGAAACCGAAATAAACATAATGAGAATCGAAAACCATGTTATTTAGTATATATGTAAGATAAATAAGTAAATGGAAATAAAAAGATAATTGTGCAGCGAATAAATAAACTGAAGGGAGAGTATTTTCTTGTATTTATAATTCTCTTTTCTCTAGGTTCGTTTGTCCCTTGATGCGAAAACTTGCGCATATACATTCAATAATAATATTCATTAGTAAGATGATTTTTGAAATGTTAATTACATATAAGCCTACAACATTGTGATCCAACAACAAAGAGTGAAAGGCATCTCAAACTAATGGATATTAGCAATCTTTCGTTGATTATATCGTAATTTATCAGCAATTACTTCAGTTTGGTTATTTAGGTCATCCAGCATACCGTTCTGCATATCCAACTCTTCCGAGATAGCTAATCCAATATGTTTTTGTCGACTCAACATTGCACTAAATTGTTCGACATGAAGATCTTGATCCTGCATAGTCTGTTGTTGCAATCGCAGCAGTCCTTCGTTATCAAGTCCTCGTGTCTGCTCAGTCTCGCTGGGCATCGAGGCAGCCTTATTCCCGAAGACACGCCTCGAGGCAACAGGTTTAGTACTTGAGGAAATGATGCTACTATTACTGTTAGCAGTAGTACTGGTCATGATGGATCCGGAAGCAGCTCGAGACAGTGGCGGTGCTGTTCGTTGGCGAATGGCTGATGCTTCTGGTTGTCGGAATAGTACATTACGATCAACGTTGCTAGCCGGTGATGAAGCTTTGATGATGTCTGGTCGATTGGCTAACACGAGTTTCGACAATAATTCTTTTTCATTTTTTAACTCATTTAACATATCCATTCTTCGTCGTAGTTCACCTTCCAGCATTACAAGTCCATCCCGACCGGAACCTTTTGCTAAACCTTGTAGACCGGCATCAAGTTGTGATACTCGTGCATTAAGGGTCGACAAACTTTTCTTTGCTTGTACACTACAATTATGTGATGCCTGCACTTCATTTCTAGCAATGTGTGTCTCGCGGCGGTTCAATAATGACCTTATATCGCGGGCAATAGCCTGCACCTGGTTATACTCATCCAACCAGCTTTCTGACGTGTACATTGTGCTAGCATCTAACGGACGTCCGCTCGGTATCGCCAAAAATTCCTTCCACTCGTCAGTCTCGCGCCACCGGTCATCAGGGTCTGTTTGTATCGCTTGCAAATATTCTTCAAGTCCACGTTTACGTTCCTCCACTAACACCGGGTTCCCGAGTGTCGACTGGAAGAAGTGTTTTACGGGCAGGTCGACAGGTGGCGGGTGATTGGGGAATAGTCGAAGAAATTTTTTGTTGAGGTCTTCAAATTCGCTGAATCGTTTCCAGACTACCCATGTACGAACTGCTGCGCGGATTTCTACCTCGTATGCGATATGGGGCTTCGGTTGTTGCCTTGTGGCCGCTTCTCTGATTTTTACAGAAAGGATGGTTTCGCTCATTGTTTAATTGAATTCTGTGGGACACTGTTTGTATTATTAATATGAATAACGATGATGATAAATAATATAGGGTTACAGAGAAGTAAAGTATTACCCCCCAGACATATATAAAAGAATTTCTAAATTGACCTGTATCCCGATTATTATCGTTAATGATGTAAGCTACTATAGTTAAATAATTATACACACAAACAACTATTCATGCAGATGGGCGGTAATAATCTTCTTGGGGTCCAAATAAATTCTTTTTCTTTCCTTCTTTAGTCTAACCTGACAATAGGTTGTTAACGTTAATAGGCGTGCAGATCGATGATCAAATGATACATTGAAACAGAATCATATTTAGCATCCATCAAAAATGCAAATGAGCTAATATTCAAAGTGTGTGCGTACGTGTGTGCGTTATGTGTATGAATGAAAACCGCTCAAATACAGGGAAGGATAATGATGACATCATCAAAAAAAAATGTAATAATGAATAATTTAAAAAAGTTCAAATTGTAACGAAAATTCAGAAATAATGTGACAATCTACATCGCATAGCATATACATTTGTCCTTTTGCGTCTTCCCTCCCCATCATCGACATTAATAATTAATTATTATACTATTATCGCCATTTTTTTATGTACCAACCGGATCACAGTCGATTAATATCCTAACATTAATTATAATTATCTTTCATTTTACCAGACTTGATCCACCAAACCATTCATCCAAATAAATAACCAAAAAATGAAACCTTTAAGTTAATCGCTCCTTATTAAGCTCCGAAAGACTTTTTAGGCTTCTCCTTTTTTCGTCCTCTTTTACATAGACTTCGGCCACTTCGTTAAGCTCTTTATCACGATTCACCTCTTCGACAGCCTCAGCTATTGCTTTTTGTTGTTTTGTTTCATTGCGGGCGATCTGTTCTTCGCGGGATGGCGGAAATCGTTCGTTCTCAAGATCAGATTTTCGAGCTTCTTCAAATGAGGTAATTGCTATCATTATGAAGGTGTTATAGATAGAAATTATGTTATTTACAATAAATATAAAAATAAATGAGAATGACAATGGTTCATAAATGCTAAAAAAAGACGTACCTTTTTTGATCCCTTCTGCGCCCAAAGCCAATGTACCATATGGCAACTTTCCTGTTCCCATGACATTCTTCAGTTCCATAACACGTTCTGACTCCTCTCTATTTTCATTGTCAAAAATAAAAAATTAGCGCGAATTAATCTCTTGTTATTTATGCCGGTAATGTTGATCACAAACATCATAGAAAGTAAAAAAATCAAATAACTCACCTGAGCACAGAAAAAACTCTGGCCATTTTACCAACAGCCAAAATTTTGTTCTTGATTACTTGACGTCTTTCTGCGCCATCACTTGAAGATGGTGGCTCTTTTATGTTAAAATTATATGCGTGCGTGCGGATTAACTCCCTGCTGAAATTCACACCTGACAATTCTGCATGAAATTTTATATTAAAAGATTCTTACCTGGAGATTTTGGCTCTTCTATAACTTCCTCGTCCTCTAACTCGTCATCTTTCAGTTCTTCTTTACTGCAAATACTCATTATGACTAAGAGCATATCTGTGACTATAACACAGAAGATATACCATGTAAATAAATGTAAATTCACGTCACGAATATCGTAAACACTTAAAGTAATCTTTCTAATCATTAAAATGAAATACAAACTTTTTTCACCAACAAACGGCAAAGACCAAGTGAACACATCCATAAAGTTCGGTAGCCAATATGGATGTGGGGTGCAATTGAATTGTCGGATGTTCATCACGTTATTCTCGTATTTCAATACGGCCGCTAAGAAAAAGCGTGTTATTTAGCAAAAATATACTGTGATTTCTTATCTGTTCTTCCTTTTAATTAATAGCAATGATAACCACCACTAGCAATGACAATAAAGCAAATAAATGGAATTTCAAATATCCACGTATATGCGTGAGTAGATGAGGCGTAACAAACCTTTGTTGTTGTAAACGTCTAAATAGTTTGGTGCTGAAAATATAGTCATGACTGAAGGGAATCCAGTGGTTTTTGTCTTTCGATACATCCGATATCTTCAATGAATATCAATAAATTTTAAACACAATTTTATCTTTACATGTAAAACCCCCCCCCAGTGAATTCTTACCCTGCATCTTGAGCTTCATGTGCACGAATAATCGACAATAATCCATTCTTTTCCAGGAAAGCGCATGCTGCGTGGTAACTATTATCATAATCAAACATAAATTTCAGATAAGTCAAGTATACAAACGCAGATGAAGCAGCATCAATATTAGTACTACCGTCTCCAAAAAATCCCACCTAAAGAAATAAGAACATCCTCGAACATTATTATGTAGGAAACATTCATTAGTTTTTTCTTGACCAAATTCTTCGAGTGGATCGGCCCATAGCAAGTCACACATTATTCCAGTAGTTGGTGGTTCTCTGAAACGATTTATCTGTTATTGTTGTTGTTTGATGTTATATTAATGGAGATTATTGGATATAATAGAATTTTTAGTGAATATTACATTAAATAATAAATAACCAATTAAAAATCATGATATTTATTACAGCACGCAGATCATCCAGCGTATTCAGCTCTGGAGATAGACCACCATGAATACATAAGAATTGTTTGTTCATTATAGCGGCAAGAGGAAGCGCACAAAATGATTCCATACACGCGTCATAAACCACTTCAGAATATTTGTGTTTACCTGAAATAGAAAGAAAAAGTATTAATTGCATTGATTCCTTCTTTTATACAAAAAAACAAACACTCACATTCCAATTTAAAGGTAAAGTAATCTGTTAAATGGCGACATTCATGGTTTCCACGCAGTAAAAACAATGTATCAGGATACCATATTTTCAGCAACCACAAATATAAAACACACTTAAGTAAAAATCAAAAGAATTAGTTACAAGAATTCAAAGAAACAAGATAAACGAATTATAAAAGAAGTTCAAAAAATAATTTACTTCAATTGAAAAATATCCCCTGTCCACGTAATCTCCCAAAAAAAGATAACGAGTATCGGCTGGGTTACCACCAACTTCAAAAAGTTTCATCAAGTCATAATATTGTCCATGAATATCACCGCATACTTAATAGAAGAATTAGCACGAAATCAGAATATCTCGTTAGTGTAAGTTGTTAAATAAGACTATAGATGTATATGCGTCGTTCTTATAATAAATTTTATGAAATGTGAACATTCAAATAATTAAATTTGACTACTCATATTCTAACAAAAAAAAAACCCACCCAAGCAACACCACATTATTTAACTTAGTAATAGTTTCTACCTGTAATTGGAGCATCTACTTCTAACAAATTTGGTTCCTTCCTTAATATCTCAGTGCATTTTTTTATAATATAAAGTGCTTGCTCTTCGGTGATTCTTCCTTCACGATAAAAATGATTCTTCAAAAAAGCAATGTCCGGTTTACTAGGATCCTCTTCTGAAAAGAATTCCTCGGGTGTTGGCACAGCGACGGCAGGGGCTTGGACATCTTTACAAACTCTACATTAAGAAAAATTCAGTTTTCTTTGTAACCACGAAAATTTTAAACAGCATTCACGACAATCTGCATGCGCTTAACACAAGAGCCAAGCTACATGACCCATCTTTTTTTCCATTCTTACCTATCGACTGTGGAAACACGAGTTCCATCCTCCAACTCGTGTACTGAAAAATCAATTTGCGGTATCGGAGCAGTAGATTTCTCTCGTTCTATCCGTGCAAGAGCTTCAGTTGCATTCTTTGGTGGTGCTGAATTAGCCATGCTTTTTTGAGCGATGATAAGAAAATAATATTCACAAAACTCGAGGACTAAAATAAAGTTGGTTGGCACGTGAAAAATTAATTTACTAATCAGAATTTGTGAATATATTTTACATGAACCAGCGAATAATAACCAAAATTGGGGGGAAACAAAAAAGATATCGAACATTTGTCTTCTTTATTGGATTGGTAAATTATCACATGATACTATTTTTGTACTAGTATTTCCAAATTTGATATAAGAAATAATCATGCATTTAGAAATAAATTTCTAAATACAAAAATATATATTATATTATATTAAAAATAATAAGTATATAAATAATCTGCGCGTGCGTCGACGTGTGGGGGTTGGAGAGGGCTCCGAAACGAGATAATTTGGCGAGGGTAACCTCCCCGGCGCGAAGCGGGATTCCTCCCCCGCCCCCAGGTATTGTAGGGCGGACCGGCGTGGGTTCGGGTGTGTGGGTGCCAGGGGGCGGGGTTGGGGGGACCGTGGTGCAACCCTCGGCTTGGAGAGGCTTGGGTAATTATTATAAAATAGATCTAATTTTAATTTTTATAATTAATCATTTTATTTTTTCTTCTTTAAAAATTATTGTTTATTTTTAGCAATAATATTATTTAGTTATTTTTTTTCAGATTATAAAATTAAAAAAATACTTTCTTTTTTATATTATAATAATTAAAACATTCTTTTTTAATTATGATAACTTATTAATATAATAAGTTTAAAAAAACTAAAATAATTATTTGAAATAATAAAATTTTTAAATTATAATAATAATAAAATATTAATATTATATTTAAAAATCTTATTAATAAATTAAATAAATAATAAATTTATTTATATTAAAATTTTTTATTCAAATATTTTAGCTTTTTATTTTTTATTTTATAATAATATATTATTATTTTGCTTTAATAAATTTTATAAGTAATTTTTTTTATCAAAATATTTTTTGAAAATATTAAAATTATTTATTTTAAAAATAATTTTTCTTTTTATATTATAATTTTTTAATTTTATAATAAATTTAATATAAATTAATTTTATATTTATATTTTTATATAATAAATAAAATTTTTTATAATATAAATTTAAAAATATAATGAATATAAATTATATATAAATTTAAGTTATATTATTAAAATAAAATCTTTTTTAAAATATTATATTTTTCTAAATATATTTCTCTCTTGAAATCATAATAAAAAAATAAAAAATATATATTTTAAAAAGATATATATTTATAAAAATTAAAATATATAAAATTTTTATAAGTTAAAATTAAATATATTATTAGAAAGAATATATTTAGAAAGGTATAACTATATTTATTTAGTTGATTTTTTAATTATAATTTATAAAATATTTATTTTATCTGATTTTATTATATTTATATTATAAAAGAAAATATTTATAAATTTTAATATTAAAAAATTTTATTTATTATTTTTATTCAAAATTATATTTTATAATATTATATAATAAATATTTATTATTTAACTAATTATAATTTATCTTTTATTTATTATTTTATTAATCAAAAGATCAAAATTATAATATAAACCTATTAATAAATTAAATTTATAAACTTCTTAATTAAGAAACAAATATTATTATTTTATATAAATTTATTTTTTATTAATTTTTTATTTTAAATTATTATATAATTATTTAAATATAATATAAATATCTTTAAGATTAATAATAATATTAAAAGAATTTTTAAAGTATATTAATAAGATTCTAAGTTATAATTTATTAAAATTTATTAAAAAGTTATTTAAAGATAATAATAATAATATTTAATATATAATTAGCTAAAATATAATCTAATTTAAAAATATATTTTAATAAAAATATAATAAATAATTTATTAATAAGATAAATTTAATAAATTTTTACAAAATTTATTTTACAAGAAATATTTTTTTATATCTAATTAATAACTTATATTCTTAATTAATTTATCTTTTTTATTAATTAAAATATATTGTTATCATTTTTGGTGCTCTTGAAAAGGTTATTTCGTGATAGGTTAATAATTTTATATATAATATTTGCTAGGATAATATATAATAAAGATATTATGAATTACGGGTAGGAGAGACTAATATAATCAT